GTGTGCTCTTCCGATCTGTATATTTTTAATCACTTATATATGATTATATATGAGCAATTTTTCTCATTTCTTCAAACTTGATTTTTTGTAAAAAAAAATTATTCTTTTAATTATTTTTTATGTTTCCTTCTTATTATTATCAATTTTGTATTAAAGAATAATTTTACAAAGAAAAGAAACATATATGGACATATTTTGCATTTATAATTATATATAATTATATGTGGAACTTTTTTCCCGGGCATTTAGAAATACTCTAGTTTATATAACACTGCGATCCTAGGAAGGATCCTAGGATGCGACCTCTTCCTTTGGGAAAATGCAATTGGTATAAAATTATTGTACGTATACGTTTCTGTAATTACATGATGTAACAATCAGCCTTTTTGAAACATTGCTAAATGTCATTTAGCAATTGCGTCTTCTGTATCTGCAAAGGAAAAATAAAAAAGTAAATTCGTTTAAAAAAATTGCATTTTGTTTGACTGCACATTAAAATTTCAAAGATACTACGCTATTCCCATTTTGGGATAGATATGGACGGTATAATAACCGTTGTGATATTGCATAGCTTGACTCTTTTCTAGGCTGTATTGCTTCTCTCACCGGGTCTCGCCAAACTCAATATCACAGGTAGAAATAGTAATCCGTGAAACAAACCACACAGCAAGTAGCCTGTTTTCATCAAAGACCTTTGATCTGATTTATGACTCATTGAAAAAATATTTGAAAAGACCTTGTTGAGCACGACAAAAGATGTCACAAAAAAATGTACTTGCTTTTTCTCTTTTGGCTGGAATTTTAAATCTTTTATCTTGTCAGTCCCTGCAGCCAATCGCATTCTAAACTAGGGCTGCGTTACAAAAGGCAGGTGCATTTTTTGTGACATATTTTATCTTTTATGTCTCGGCGGGTAGTATAGGTTTTTATGTCATATAGACAAATAATTATTTTAGAAAAATAGCTATTGACTATAGACATATGCTATACATCTGCCTGATCAAATAACTTTCACCCATTTATTTGCTGCGTATATGTCTCCATATGTCTCGCAGCGGATGTGTTTTCCCAGATAGCACACAGAGTTTTAAAGAATTCATTTAGTATATTTTCACAACAATTTTACTTGAGTGTTTTGTTAAATCAGTAAAAAAAATGTTAATATTAACAATCGGCACAAGAATTGTAAATGAATACGAAGAGCAATTAAATGTTTAAAAAAATAATCATTTCATGTTATTAAAAGAATTCTCGCCTATTTATTGTCAATTATTACAATAAATGTCTTATTACGTACATATAAAAAATAAATATATTATACATTTGCAAGGAATATACGTGTAAATGAAATTACTTATATAAATACGAATAAATTTGAAAATCATTGTAAAAAAGAATTAAATTCTAATTTAGTCCAATTTTAATCTTTAAATATAATTAGAAATTCAAAGTAACTAGAATTTTACATTTTTTACATGTGTAATTTATCGATTACATCTTCTTTAACATATTTTTCATTGGTAATTTTTAAAAATAAAAACGTTACATTGACGGCGGCGACTTCAGTCTTTACACGTTTCTGCTCTTCAGTAGATAGTGCTGTGTTAATTTTTAAAAATGACAGTACAAGTTTCCAATGTTCTTGTCTTTAGAATAACAAAGTGCCTTCTCCGAGAATAATTTTATCGATCATATTGCGTTATTAATAATTAATAAGTACTTTCGAGATAATCCAATTTGTGGAAAACAGATTTTACAAATATATTGTATATTATAATATTTGTCGTCGGAATGCAGAATACAACAGAATTTACCAACAAAATGTTATAATAAGGTACATTTGGCACGCGGCTAGTCCGCCGTCAGCCGCGCGACATGCGAGTCACTGGCGGCATGCCGCACACGCATCCGCAGCGTGCGCGCTCTTGGTATTGTTGCCATCTTGTGTTTATTGTCAGGGATGATACGAGACACTGGTGGTGTTGACAACGACGATGACATGCACTGCCCATCTTCCGGGGAGCAGCCGACTCTGGGTCACCATCCTTAATGCACTGTAAAAATAGAAAAAAATTGTTAGCTAAATTACGAGAGGTATTTAGTCATCTTCTGAAAATGTTAAAACGTAACAGAATGTAATTAAACGATAAGACGGCAGAAATAACTTTCCCAGATAATTAAGTTGTCAACTAAAAAAAAAAATAAAAAAAACAGGCGTATGTATAATCTTAATGTAACGTTTATCGAATATTAAATATACAAAGTAGAATAAATATTGTATCTTCATTTATTATTCCTGTTAATTCGTAACTCTTAAAGCATTTGTAAAATATGTAAGTCACCGAATATAATTTCTACAGAATAGCTAATTATTATACATTATAACTTATAAAAAGACATTATTTTTTATTACTCAATTCCTATTCTGTTTTATTTGTCCCTCTTCGACATCTTACCCTTCTTGTTGCTTTGCGCCTTTTTGGATTTTTCTTCCATCTTGTCCTTTGATTTAGATTTTTTTTCTTTTCATTTATGCTGGACTTTCATCTTTTTCTTTGGCGGAACTTCGTCCTCCAATGACGACGACGAAGAAGAATCGGTCGTCGTCGAGCTGGACAAACTGGTAGATTCATCAGAGTTTGAGGGCTCTTCTTCCTTGATTCCGATCAACGCCGGCACGGGTGCTGGCTTTGGATGGGACTTCAGGTGTTCCTTCAGGTCATCCGTCAAACCGCCCAGGCCGATCGACGTGAAGAAGTTGATCGCGAAATGCGTGTTCTTCGGATCGTTTCTGGGGAACAGCCCCTCGAATACCTCCTGCAACGTCACGTCTTTAACCCGCTCGTTCAGCTTCGCCAGACCCATGTGCTCTGACAGCTCTCGAAACAAGAACTTGATAAATATTCTGTTGGAATTCGTGATGTCCTCGTTCAGTTTGATGCACGACAGCACGCTCCACGATATGGAGTCCGTGAACAGTAAATACGCGAAGAATTTGGACATGTTCCACAGTTCGTTGATGTTGAGGCGGTGTATCGTGTGATACGAGTTCTTGAAGATCTGCCCGAACAGCGTCACGTATATCTTGTTGATGGCGCAAAGCAGATGGGCCAGCAGGCCGAAGAACTTCTCGTACGTACGCATCTCTGCGCAACAGGCCACGACCATGTGACACAGCTCGATCTCCAGCCCGGGTTTCAGTTGCATGTTCGTCAACTTATACACGTACTTCTCGAAGACGAGAGAGTATCCTATCGTCACTTCTACAGTTCGTCCCATCAGAGTTACATTTATGTCATCGAGTATCACCTGGTTGATCTGCTCTGCGTCGCTCTCGTCCGAGCTCTCCTCTCCATCCTCGTCGATCTCATGATCAAAAAACATACTCCTCAAACTGGTGTCCCTGCCGAGAATCTCATTGTAAAACTTCTTCTTCAACATTTCCCAGACGAAACGCTGATAGGCGACACTCGACTTGTCGGTCATCTTCGCCTGGAGCATACGCACCTTGGTGGGCGGATCGTACGCGCCAAGAAGGATCTTGAAAGCGGTCATGACCGCGGCGCGTGCCATGATTTAGCTTTTATTTTGCTCGGATAATCTGTGGTTTTTACTGGCTTTAAGCAGCTTTTAGGTTAGCTGCAACTACGGCGCGAATCGGCGACGGCGAGCGAGCTTCTTATTCATTTTCTTATAAGGACTCTGGTCCCCTGTACAGGGGTAAACTTGGCCCAGCTTATTTAGTCGAATGATGCAATATTAAAACGTAACGAGAGAATACAGGCCTTCACACATAAAATCCCGTAAAGCCGTAAGACGTAAGCATAAGAAAATTGATCAATCCCAATTGAGTGGAGGGGTTACGGACAACCTAATACTAAATTGAGATTGGTCGATTTTCTTACGCTTACGCTTACGGTCTTACGGGATTTTATGTGTGAAGGCCTTAACAAAGCAGAAGCAGAACTGCAGAACACTCGGCCGGCCCGCGGCCGCGATTCAGCTGCGTCTTTCTAACTGCGATGGGCGATTGAGCTGGTTTCGGCGCCTCTGGAAAGTGACATTGAACTACGTAGCCAACGTCCACGATTTTGTCGGTAAGGTCCACGATTTTTTGGTGGTGATCCGTGCTTGTCCACGGTTGTGTTCCGTGCTATGTGCAGGATGCAAGTAGGTTAGTTAGACAAGGACGGATATTAATCTCGGTCGTCCTTGTCTCACCACCAGCTAACAAACACGAAGCTCGAGCGGCGAGTTCGTTTATGTCATGGACACACTCTCCTCTCTCCCGTCCCGTTTTTTTATCACGCTGTGTTACCGAAATTCAGAAAGAGGATTTCGGGCAGCAAAATAAAAAATAGTTTAAAAGAAACTTTTTTAATATAAATTTTATATGCTGTCGTGACACGCGTGCATATGATTTATGCATATATTTATTATAACAAATACGCGCGTGTTCAAATATATTGTGCAATAAATAATAATAAATAAATGAGAATAATTAGAATAATAGAAATATTTGACTTTTTTCACATACAAGCGATTTTATTTAGAATTTAGCTATTTTAGTTTAATAAATTGCAAGTTCCATATCAGTGAATTTTAAACTTCTGCTTTCAGAAAGTTCTTTTGTCTCGGCGGCAGCGTGCCTGCATGCCTAGTAATCGCAAGATCGCTGTGTGCCGATTCCCGACGAATAATTCTGTTTTAATTAAAAATTTTAATTCTTTCAAAAAAAGGAATAATAGGTAAATCACGCGGATTTATATACTTTGTCTGTTTACTTTCCCTAAAAAAACTTGTACATACGTGTACATTTTCCTTTTTTTTTATCATACTCGCTGTCTTGAAAATTAATTTTGATAACCCGATCGGGGTCAAAACGTCTACATTTATGAGTTATTGAATGTTTCACTTGTTAAATACTGGAGCGATAGAACATCTAAGCTTTGGCTCATATATGTATAGTTCTTTAAATATGTATTTATATATTTATTAATTTTAGATTCCAGAATAAACAATGCTGTAATATAAACTTGTGACATAATTTAGATCGATAAGAAAGATATGAATTGCGCATACCGACGTTAAAATATAAATAATATTTAAAAAACAATCTGTTTGCGAAAGTGTAACCATAACATTTTTATTTTAGGCTTATTCAATTATTTAACAATCCAGCAAATTAATTGAAATGAATTGAAAATTGTAATTTATTTTAATTTATTTTCGAAAAATGAATCACAATATATAAAAAATAGATGATTAATTAATATTTTAGTACGTCATTGCGACGTACGATCTGTAATTTCGTGACTGAAACAACACGTTTCTTTCACGTATTGTGCAGACAGGGATTATTTTTGGATTCAAATGGATTCGAGAAATCAGAAGTGCTGATTTGAAAATTTCGAAATCAATTTATTTCTATCCATTTCAAATCATTTTCGATTGGGAAAATAATTTCTTGTGCATACACACGAAGATAGAAATATATGGCATATATTCGCCGAGTTGCTATGCAGTGTTCATGCAAAGCCGATATTCATAGTCAGTAATTCTTAATTATTTAGAGACCATCTTAAGTAATGTCTTAAGGTGCTAATACGGCACGCTCTGTGATTGGCTCATGACATATATCTTAAAAACTTAAGACTGTCTTAAATATAAGAATATTAGGAATAATATCGACAATACATATACCAATCTAAGATTTTCATTAGAAACTGCAATGCAATATGCATTCAACAGAGCAGGTAGCCAAAGATGTTATCATCAAAGAAAATCTTAACAATTGTCTGATTTATGAAAAATATTTGAAAAGACCTTGTCGAGTACGACAAAAGATGTCATAAAAAAATGTACTTGCTTTTTATCTTTCGGCTGGAATTTTGAATCTTTTATCTTATTGTCAGTCTCTGCAACCAACCCAATCGCATTCTAAACTAGGGCTGCGTTACAAAAGGCAAGTGCATTTTTTGTGACATGTTTTATCTTTTATGTCTAAATCGGCGGGTAGTAAGTTATAGATTTTTATGTCGTACATAGACAAATAGTTATTTTAGGAAAATAGCTTTTGACTATACACATATGCTATACATCTGCCTGATCAAATAACTCACTCATTTATTTGCTGCGTATATGTCTCGCAGCGGATATGTTTTCCCAAATAGCACACAGAGTCCAAAAGAATTCATATTTTCACAACAATTTTATTTTAATGTTTTGTTAAATCAGTAAAAAAAATTTAATATTAACAGTCAGTTTAGTGGAAGGATACGTATATAAAATCACATAATAAAATTGTAGCACCAATATCCTGATATAACCGTTGCATTGGCCCACCTTATTCATTGTGTTAAAAAATTAAGCTTATCACCGGGAAAAAGAACTGAAAATATAGGCAAGTAATAGATGAAAGAAGAAAGAGGAGAAAGGAAATATCTCAGTGTCGAGAATTCTAAAAAAGAAGGAAAGGAGGAATTGAAGAAAATACGTACACAAAAAAAGATTAATACGGAGAATAAAGAAAATATATTATATGCGTCAGCATGCGATTTGGATATAGTTCGTGATCTATTAGAAAAAGAAATAGAGTACAATATAATATCAGCAGCGGAAGAAAGTGAACTCAGACCTATTGTATACTTTGATTTAGAGACTACTGTACTTTCAATAAAATCATCTGATATTTGTCAAATCGCTGCAAAACATAAAAATAAGAATTTAATGCTTATGTAATTCTTTCACAAGATATTGTTCACAAATTAT